GGGACACACCTGGGGCACACCCAGACACACCTGGGCACACCTGGGCACACCTGTGCCCACCTGTGCCCCTCCCCAGGAAGTCGGAGGCTCCCCGAGCCACGCGGGACGAGAAGCGCCGGGCACAGCACAACGAAGGTACCGGGGGGGCACCCCCATTCCAGGGGGCACCCCGATCCCAGGGGGCACCCCGATCCCAGGGGGCACCCTGATCCCAGAGGGGCACCCCTGATCCCAGAGGGGCACCCCGATCCCAGAGGGGCACCCCGATCCCAGAGGGGCACCCCGATTCCCACTGGCCCCATTCCCTGTTCCCAATCCTTCATTGCCACTGGGAATCCCCATTCCCAATCTCAATCCCGTTCCCATTCCCAATTCCCAATTCCATCCCCATTCCCATTCCCTGTTCCCATTCTCCGTTCCCAATTCCAATCCCATTCCCCATTCCCCATTCCCGTTCCCATTCCCATTCCCATTCCCGTTCCCATTCCAATTCCCGTTCCCATTCCCCATCCTCATTCCCATTCCCAATCCCATTCCCGTTCCCAATCCCGTTCCCATTCCCCATTCCCGTTCCCATTCCCATTCCCCATTCCTGATCCCTATCCCATTCCCAATCCCATTTCCATTCCCATTCCCATTCCCATTCCCATTCCCGTTCCCGTTCCCAATTCCAATTCCCATTCCCATTCCCCATCCTCATTCCCATTCCCATTCCCATTCCCATTCCCATTCCCATTCCCATTCCTGCTCCCATTCCCGTTCCCATTCCCATTCCTGTTCCTGTTCCCATTCCCGTCCCCGTTCCCATTCCCGTCCCCGTTCCCGTTCCCGTTCCCGTCCCCGATCCCATCCCCGATCCCGTTCCCGATCCCATCCCCGATCCCATTCCCGTCCCCGTTCCCGTTCCCGATCCCGTTCCCGTCCCCGATCCCGTTCCCGATCCCGTTCCCGATCCCGATCCCGATCCCGTTCCCGTTCCCGATCCCATTCCCGTCCCCGTTCCCGTTCCCGTTCCCGATCCCGTTCCCGATCCCGTTCCCGCTCCCGAGCAGTGGAGCGCCGGCGCCGGGACAAGATCAACAACTGGATCGTGCAGCTGTCCAAGATCATCCCCGACTGCTCCATGGAGAACACCAAGTCCGGCCAGGTCTGGGTGTGGGGTTTGGGCTTTGGGATTTGGGGTTTGGGTTTGGGGTTTGGATTTGGG